GGGAGGGGTGGAGCCAGCGGGTGGGCTGGCCAGGGTGAGCACCACACTGCCTCTCACCTAGTTCTCATCACTTTGCAGGGGGCACTTGGACTGAAGGGCAGCGAGGGGCCCCCTGGCCCTCCAGGCCCCGCGGTGAGTGGGCAGGCTCAGGGCCTGGGCCCCCAGCCCCGGGGTGAGAGGGGCCGTGCCAGAGAGCCCCATGCCGGTCCCTGGCTACGTGGAGGTGTGGCCGCCTGAGGGCACAGAGAGGTCCTGCACCCGCCCGCTGGTGTGGGCCGCATGGTGGGGGGGCCTGGGGGTCTTTCCTGCTGTCCAGTGAAAAGCGCGGCTCCTGCCGCGGGAGCACTCAGGCCGAGGCCTGAGCCTCAGCCCTGGGCCCTTCGCCAGAGCACATGCCGCCCAGGGCAGGGCCGCGGCCCCACGACCCCGCGGATGGGCCAGGGCGGGCCCCTGGAGGAGTCCAGACGCACTTGCGAGGTGTCCCCAGACGCTGGCGGCGGACGCGGGCCTGGGATTATGGGAGTGGGAGCGCTAGAGGGGCCCGACACGGCACCCTGAAGCCCAGGCTGAGCCAGGCGCTGGGAGCCTTAGGTGTCGTGGGCGGCAATTTGGGGGCCACATCGGCCTCTGACCCCTCTCGCCCCGCCCAGGGCTCTCCGGGGGAGAGAGGCCCGGCAGGTGCTGCTGGGCCCATCGGAATTCCAGGGAGACCCGGACCCCAGGGACCTCCAGGGCCAGCCGGGGAGAAAGGAGCGCCTGTGAGTACCGCTTGGCCATGCCTGGTGCTGGCTGGACTGCCCGCCCAGGACAGCCTCACCCCCACATGCGGGCGGGTCAGGGCCCCAGAGACCTGGCCATGGGCTCCACCCGGCCGGACTCGGGGTGCCGTGGTGGACAGCCACAGGAAGGAACAGACCCTCTTCCTACCTGCCCACTTCAGTGGCCCCCACCGCTGCCCTGCAAACCCCCTGACCGGGCCACCCCCACACCATACCCACCTCTGCGCTCGGCCCTGCACACCCCGAAATCCTACAAGCCTCTGAGAGTCAGCGCCAGCTCCTGTCTGGACCAGCGTGCCAAGAGGGGTCGCCGTGTCAGGGGTGGGCGGTGCCGCTGGCCACCGTGGCCCCAGAAGGACAGGAGCCCGCAGGCTGGCGCGGAGGCCGGGCGGCCTGGTGGGGGGAGGGGCACGGCTGCCCTGCAAACCCCCTGACCGGGCCACCCCCCCACCATACCCACCTCGGCCCTGCACACCCCGAAATCCTACAAGCCTCTGAGAGTCAGCGC